GACTGATGGAAGTGAGCATTTGGCAAAGTGAGAAAAGAAATAAGATTGCATTTAAGCTACAGGAATAGATGGGAGAATAATCAAAAAGGTACCATAATGTAGAAAGCAAGAGAGAAAGCTGCTTGGAGCTTGTGGGTCTTTCAGATTGCACCCAAGTGCATTGCCAACTGTTGGCAGCACAGACAGAGCAGATGGGCAGGTGCAAAATCATGATGGGGAGGGACATAATGGCAGTCCCGTGCCAGCCGTGATTTCCTCACAAGGTGTCCTATTCATCTGTTAAATAGCTGAGCACTTCTATTAAGCATTTTAGAGGTATTCTAAGTAATTTAAAGCATTTAGATGTTACATCTCTGAACAGATGGCAAAAGTGGAGTGAATGTGTGTTTTGGGGTATGTGTGAGTGATGAAGCAGAGGAAACATTAAAATATTTACAGCAAGATGGGTTGGTGGGTGGTATGGTGGTTAAGGCAGTGGACTCCCTTGTGGCCTTCCATGGTTCAAGTCCTGGATCTGGTGGCTTGCTTTCTCACATCTCTCTCTCTGTCTCTCTCTTGTGAGAGCATGTAAATAATTATGTAAATAATTCTTAAAAATAAAAAATATATATTGAGAGCGAGAATGATGTTAAGCAATGGCTAACCAACCTTTCTTACTCACCCTCCACTTATTATTTTTTATTGTGCTATAGTTCTCAACTTAGTGAAGTTCATATGCAGCATGTAAAACTCTGAGCTCTAGCTGTGGAATTCATGAAGCTGTTCAAATCCTTCTTGCAAGAACTGCTCTTGGAGGCAAGAATACTTTTACCAGTTGCTTGACTTTCTGGATCCTTCACTGAAAAGACATGCAGTAGAGGAAGATATTAGGCAGGAAGAAGGTTTTTTTTTTTTTTTTTTGACTGGTGCTGTCTTATGGCAAAAGAAGAGGTTGCTGCTTTGGAGAATTTGTGACTGGACAGAGCTATGTTGATGGGTAGAATTGATTTTTTTCAGAGAATCAGTCTGGCATGCTTTGGGCTTCCGTTTTATTAACATTGATTGAGATCCTGTTAAGCGTTGGGGAAATAAAATGATAAAGTAGTAGTCCTGGTTCTCATAATGATAAAGGAGTCAATTCATCAGGACAACACAACAGTAGTAAATATGTAAGTGCCTAATAACAATGTCTTAAAATATGGGGGAAAAGTTACAGAATACAAAGGAAAAATGTTAAAAATTCCACAAGTGCAGTAGGTGACTTTAATACCCTTCTTTCAGCTAGTGATAGAGAACTATATTTTTAAAAAATTAGTAAAGATATGCATAATCTGAACAATCTTATCAAATGCTTTGAATTGTTAATGTTGTTTTATTTGTAGAAGAGCATACCAGACCACTGCAGAAAATACACTCTTTTTTGAGTTTGTACAGTACATTGCACAAGTTAGATAAATAGGGTAGATCATAAAGTAAGTCTTGGTAAATTTTTAAATGACTGAAATCACGCAGAGGGTGTTCTCTGACCACACCATAATTAAATATAAGTCAATAATAATATTTCCAGGAAAAATCTCAAAAATTTGGAAAATAAGCAACATACCTCTCAGTAATCCAAGGGTCATATAATACATACCAAAAAAAAAAAAAATGAAAGAAAAGAGAAGTCTTGAACTGAATTATAACAAAAATGAAAGACAACCAATTTTAGCTGTAGAATTTAGTTAAATCAATGCTTAGACTAAGATTTATCGTGTTAATTGCTTATATCAGAAAAGGAGAAAGGTCTCAACTCAACAAAGCCAAAAGCTTTGTGAAGAGCAACATAATTGATACATCTCTAGCTGGAAGAATCAAGGATTAGAAAGCAAATAAAAGTAGCATCAGGAATGACAGAAAGAGTACCACTACAGGATGCTATAGGACAAGGATCCTTAATCCTGTACAGGATGCTATAGGACAAGGATCATTAATCCTGTACAGGATGCTATAGGACAAGGGTCCTTAATCCTGTACAGGATGCTATAGGACAAGGATCCTTAATCCTGTACAGGATCCTATAGGACAAGGATCCTTAATCCTGTACAGGATGCTATAGGACAAGGGTCCTTAATCCTGTACAGGATCCTATAGGACAAGGATCCTTAATCCTGTACAGGATGCTATAGGACAAGGGTCCTTAATCCTGTACAGGATCCTATAGGACAAGGATCCTTAATCCTGTACAGGATGCTATAGGACAAGGGTCCTTAATCCTGTACAGGATGCTATAGGACAAGGGTCCTCAGCCCCAGGTTGCCGACTGGTGTGGGGCTGTCAGGCTGTGCAGGGGTGCTGAGTAGTGGCAAGCGAGCAAGGCTTCTCTATTTGCAGCTGCTCCCCATAGCACACATTGCCACCTGGGCTCCACCTCCTGCAAGAGCAGCACTGGTACTGCATTTTCATGGGAGCACGAACCCCATGGCTATGGAATGTTTTGTTATATATCGCAGTGTGGTAGGAATTAAAATGGGGTTCCCAGTGGATGTGGTACACTTGAGTCATCCTGGGACCAACGCTCTTACCCCCGACCCTATTCCCGTGCCATTTGCACTCCTGCCCTTCCTGTGGAGTAATTGTCTTCCACAAAGCTGGTCCCTGGTGCCGGGAAGGTTGGGGGCCACTGCTGTAGGACACTGTGAACATTAAAAAAAAATATATCATAACCACTTTCATGGTGCCCAATTTAACAACTTAGGTAAAATGAAAACATAGAAGTTACCAAAGTTGACATGAGATGAAATAAAAAAATTGAAATTCCTCTATCTATTAAAAATTGTATTACAAAAATTTCCCATTAAGAAAACTCCATGTTGGGGTCCAGCAGGTGGTGTGATGGTTAAGGTGCTGGCCTCCCACATGGCTGACTGTGGTTTGCCTCCCGGACATGACTGCTTAAAATCATGCTGGGCGCATGTACGTGCATGCCAAAAAACCCAAGGGAAGAATGAAGAAGGGATAGTGGCATGGCCAACCCCTCAAGGAGGTAATTTCTCACTTTCCCTCTCACTGTCTCTCTCTAGAAAGCACACATGTCCTATGGTAAAAACCTAAAAAAAAAGAAAGAAAGAAGAAAGAAAGAAAGAGAAAGAAAGAAAGAAAGAAAGAAAGAAAGAGAAGAAAGAAAACTCCAAACATAGATGATTTTTCTGATAAATTCTATCAAACATTAAAAAAAGATAGCATTAATTTTATTTGGCACTTTCAGAAAATAGAGAAAGCCTTCCCCAATTCATTTTATGAGGCAAGCAAAACTTTAATATCAAACCTAATGGAAGACATTACCAAACAAAGAGAAAACAACATAAATACTTCTTATGCTCATAGATATAGAAATCCTTAATAAAATATTAGAAATCAAATCCAACAATATATGCAAAATATAACACTTTATAACCAAGTAGGATTAATTCTAGGAATATAAGATTAGTTGAACATTAGAAAATCAGTTAATGTGGGACAAGCAGTTAGCATAATGGCTATGTCGCTGGACTCCCACGTAGTCAACCGTGGTTCGCGTCCCGGACCCGGTGGCTTAAACTCTCGCCAGGCACATGTGTGTGCATGCCCAAGATCCCGAGAGAAGAATGGAGGAGAAGGGATTGTGGCGTGGCCATCCCCCCTGGGGGGTGATTTCTCACTGTCTCTCTGTCTCTCTCTGTCTGTCTGGCGAGCCCATGCGCCCTATAGTGAAAGCCTCTCCAAAAAAAAAAAAAAAAAAGAAAATCAGTTAATGCAATTCTTTGTATTAGTAGAAGAAAGGAGAAAAACAATATAATAATTTTAATAGAGTCCAAAAAACATTTATAAAATTCAACACCTATTTATGTTTAAACTTCTGAGCAAACTAAGCATAGAAGAAAAGTTCTCAATCTTATAAAGGGATCTACAAAGAAAACCTAGAATTATTATCATATTTAGGAACAGCGCATTAAATTCTTCCCTCTAAGACCCAGTCCAAGGTGAGAATGACTATCTTCCCAATTGCTATTCAACATTCTGCTAGAGATTTTAGGCAATACAAAAGAAATCAAAGGCATATTGACCAGAAGAAAAAAAAAAAAAAACTTCCTTTCTTTGCAGATGACTCAATTTTTTTGTGTGTAGAAAATTCTAAGATATCTACAAAATAACTAACACAACTACTAAGCAAATTTAGCAGACTGTCAGAAGATCAAAATGCAGAACTCTATATAACAGCAGCAAAGAGAAAATGAAATTCAGATATTTCATTCACAGTAGCATCCAAAAATTACTTATGTAAAAAATGTAACTAAAGAGATACAATATCTCTATATTGAAAACTATAAAACATTGTTACAGAAATTAAAGACTTAGTAAGTAGACACTTAAATTTTTATGTTAAAATTTTTTTTCATTGACAGAAGGTGCATGGGCTTCTTAGAGAGAGAAAAAAGAGAAAATGTCACCCAATAGATTTGAGGCATGATCACATGTCTCAATTTCTTTTCTTTCATTTCTCCATCCAGTCAGGCTTTGGAGCAGACATGCACAAATACCTGGGGCTGGGATGTGAACCCCGGTCAGTCATGTGGGACCTGGCTCCCGATGCACTATGGGGTTGGGCCCATATTTAATTTTTCATGGATTAAATGACTCAGTCATTTAAAATCAGTTTTTCTTATATTATTCCACAGACTTCAAAGCAACATAAATCCAAATCAAACAAGACTTTTTATAAAAATGGGTGTTCTTTCTAAAATCTGTGTGGAAAAGCTAAAGACCTGAAATAGCTATAACAATCCTGAAGAAGAAAAACAAAATTGGAGAACTCACACTGCCTGTATTTAAGACCTACTAAAAAGTTACAATAATTAAGATAGTCTGATATGGCATAAGTATAGTTCAATAGATTAATAGAATAAAAGATGTATATAGATTAATAGAATAAATAGATTAATAGAATAAAATAGATTAATAGAATAAAAGATGTAAATAGTCAACTAGTTTTTTTTTTTTTTTTCAGCAAAATAATTTTATTTTCTAACTCACGGTAAACATGTACATCCAATAATATGTGCTCAGTTTGCACATCTATTCACAAATGACTTCCAAATTACAACTGCTTTGATATTTTAGCATGTACTAGTTACCTCAGTTGAGATACAAAAAATGCTCTTAGACAGGTAACATTCTGAATATATCAGACTGGTCACGGCAGAATTTGCTTTAGTTAGAGAAGTTCTATAAACTTAAAGCTTTGTCAGGCTACTACTTTTGCATCTAGTATTTCCAGATGAGTAAGATGCAGCAATATCAGCTTGTATTCCAGAGGAATCACCTCAGTTTTTCTGGTTATGGAACCACTTATCCACATCAGTTGGTACTGTGCAGGCAGACTCGCATGGTGGTGGTAAAGCATCCACAATAGCTTTGGCAGCATCAGGATCACATTTGAAGGGGCTCTCAGCCACTGTTGTATTCATGCAACTGATTCCTTTTCCATCTGTTTTCTTAGTCACCAATGCTTTCCAATAGTCATGAGTGCTTTTAATAATATCAACAGCAAAGTCCTTATCTTTAAATTCTGCATTGAAAGCAAACTCATTTTCTGGTTTTCCATCAGGAACCTTGTACCTTCTAAACCAGTCCACAGTAGCTTCTAGGTAGCCAGGTTTCAGGCGTTTCACATCATTAATATCGTTATAATTGGCGGCATCAGGATCCTCCACATTAATGGCAATGACTTTCCAGTCGG